TCCCGGATGCAGGTGTCAGTAGTGTGACGTCTGTCTCAACCTTCAGTAGTGTGATGTCTGTCCCAACCAGGAGGGCTGTGGTGAAGAAGGAAAAACTGTTGTACGTGGTGGGAACTGACCGGTGGAAAATCAACAACAGGCTGGACAAGGCGTACAAGCCCCGTCTGGGTTGTGATATTGTTAGGGAGGCCCTGGCGCGGGTGGGTGAGAAGCTGTCGTACACTGTCATCAGTAGAAACTGTGAGCACTTTGTCACTGAGCTGCGCTACGGCAAGTCTGAGTCCCTACAGGTAGGTCAACATGTTGGGCTTCTATTTTACCCAATACATTCAAGACACAAGGTGCAGCCAGTGGGGTGTGTGCTGAAGAGAACAGTATACTAACCTAAAACTGAGTGCATACTTGCATATCTAAATACTCTATTTGGTACTCTGTATTATGCAAAGGTCTTCATGCACCCAGCCCAGCAGAGAGAGAGTATTTTAGTAGTCCTGTGAATAATGTCAATGGAGTTTTGAATTTGAAGAAAACTCTGTTAACTAAACGTGTTACCCTCTGCAGGTGCTGTTTAAGGGCGGAGCTATACTCCTTGCCGCGGGCACTGTTTAAGGGCGGAGCTATACTCCTTGCCGCGGGCACAGCTACTCTCGCGCTTCCGGGCATCATGGCTCTGGGCATCGGGGCTCTGGCAGGTGTTCTGTTTTGAGGCAGGAAGAAAAGAAACAAGAACAGATAGTGATCAAAGTCCAGGGTCACCTACTCAGTGGCTTGATTAATAGATCACCAGCACTTAAACTTGAACTTATCATGATCAGTCTCAATCACCAATAACACTGCCTAATTAAAAATGAAAGCATCTGATTAAGCAGGGAATTTGGATTTCAACCCCATCTACTCAGCTTTACCTCCATGTGTCTGTCACGCCTCTGTTGTCCTGAAAAACAGTGCAGAGCACTGTTAAAATTGGATTTCAGGAGTTTTGATTTGATTTATTCTTTCAAAC